CACCATCACCACCATCATCGTCACAACCACCATCATCACCATCACCATCACCACCATCATCATCATCACCACCATCACTATCACCACCACTATCACCACCATCACCACCATCTCTATTTCATGCCTAAGCCCTGCTTTTCATGATCTCATCTCTGGGAGCTCATTGGATCCTGCACTGAGATCAGTTGATAAGGTTCAACCCATTGCATATGGAAGGCAAACTGAGACCCAGACAGGCAAATGCTGTGTCTCAAGACCCATCAAAAGTGGATCCCAAATTATCCATCTGCCTCTCACCAAAAGCAAGGAGAACAGAAGTTATGAGGGGGTGACAGACTCCCCAAGCTGAGGAAGAGCCCTAAGAGATAGTGTGGGGGAAGGGAGGAGTTCTGACAAGAAGCTGTGGTGAAGGACTAGTGGGGGACCCTGGTTCCTAATAGTTTTCCCAGCGGAGCTAGTGAGAGGCCAAGAGAAGGCAGGGTGCTGGGTGGGGCGTGCTGAGTGCTGGGCAGGGGAGGGAAGGGGAGGCTGGGGCTGGGAAGAGGGGTTCTCTGAAGAGGACAGGCTCATTTTATTTTAGGGAGAAACAAGGAAGCAGAGGGACAGAGATGGAGAAAATGCACAGAGAGGCGATGTAAGGAGGAACAGAGACAGAGAAAGAGCAGGGGTGGGAGAGACACCCAGAGGCGTGGGGAGAGAGAGACAGGGAGAAAGCTGGACCCCTTGTATCCCCTCCCCAAGGAAAAGAGAGAGTGGAGGATGGTGGAGGGAGGTGAGGGGTGTCCTGACCTCGGGGTTCGGCCAGAGAATGAGGCTCTGGGGATAGGGTTCCCTTGGACCTGTCCTGGCGGGGTAGACGCCCTGAACACTCCCTCCACGGGGCTGGGCGCGTGTGGTGGCCACGGTCCTCTCCCGGCAGGGTGCGTATTAACGTCCACCTTTGGGGCAGCTCCACCTTCGCGTGTATGGCCGCCGCCTCACGCCCCCCATTTATGGTAATCACATATGCATTTGCATGTTAATGACAATATTTGTCTTATAGCGGAGGTTGCGCTGGGGAACGGGGCAGGTGGGGGGCGCGCGAGCCGGGTGGGCGCCTGCGGTTTCCATGGGAGCGCCGGCTGCCGGCTCATCCGCGCGGGGTGGGGGAGCCCCGAGCACGCGGAGCTCTGAGGCCCGGGAGCCTGACGTGCCAGCCCGAGGGAGGCTGCCTGGCGGGAATGAGGGAGGAGCCTGCCAACAGTCTGGCTGGCCTGACTTTCCCAGGGAGGGACGAGAGCGTGGGCCCCCAGGAGGCCGCGTGACTTTCAGCCAGGCTCACACCCCGCCCCCGCCCCCGCGCGTGCCTCAGTGTCCCCTGCTGCCCCTCTTCCTGACTTTATGAGGGCGCACAAGAGGATGTGCCATGGTTTCTGTCCCCACTTGGCCTCAATAAGTGACCAGGCATCCTTTTGGGGTGATGCTGGCGTGAGCAAGGCATCACCCTCTCTGCTGTCTTGCCAGCACTGATTGGTCACTTGCTGCGTGCAAAGCCCTGTCCTAACCCGCTGTTCCGGAGCCAGTTGCCACTCCTGGTGACAACTGTGACAGAGTAGAAGGGTCCTCTGGGGGTTTGTCTTCTGTGGTCGCT